AAAAAAACAATTTGCTAGCATTTTCCACCACTAACCAGCCTCCCAAAAAGCTTCCACCAACAGCCTGCCAAAAGCTTTCCAGCCTCCCAAAAGCATCTGAAACCACCCCTTCGCCACGGCTTTAACCCATTGAGTTCTGCTCCAAACGATTGAGTTCTGGCGGATCTATCATTATTCCCTGGCGCGCTCCCCCTTGCGTCGGCCGGGGTCGGCGGATTCTTCAGACTTACGTGACGTAGTAGCCAGACGCAGAGCTAGATGCCCATGAGTCCGGGTCTGTCGTGCTTCACCCTGGCGCAACATCCCCCGCCCAACAGATGACCCATGCGCCTTGAGAAAGGCAACGGCTCCCCTGGATGAGATCCGAGAGCTCCAGAACTATGGAATTTCACCCATAGGCCGAGAGCTCCGTGTTTTTGGTGAAGATGCCGATGGCTTCCTTCTCCTTCAGATCCCAAGCACTTGGAGTGGATGTCCATCCAACGCACCCAAAGAGACTTGCTCATTTCAAGCCGCCGATCGACAGGTTGCATTGCTGCTCCGTCGCGAGTGACACTCAGCGACGAGGCTCGGGCCCGGGCCGGGCTGATGGCCCTTGGGATGGAGACGTGCCGCTTTCAGGGGTTAAAAGAACGGCTATGCCCAATATCAATGAAGTGAATGAGGACCCTATTTTGTGCGTGCCAAGTATTGCTTCCTTGCCTCCTTGCCTTGCAAATCAGCCCAGCAAGCAACTAACTTAAGGTGAAAAGAAGTCTGGGTATTCCAGCTCACGCCACCGAGTCGTGACCTTAGTCCATAGGGTATCACACCTGAAAGGGGAGCTCTCAAGGGTTGAGAAAGGATTCAACACGGATTTATGTTGCATGACAAAGTGTTCCTTTTGGCAACAAGCATATTTGCGGCGACTTCTGAGATGCAATGAGTGCGGCTGGTTGCCCAGGTATGCCTGGGCATACCCAGTGAGCCCGGGCAAGTGGACCTCTGAGGCAGCGTCTTTTTTGGCGCTACGAAACTGCTGCGTTTTGCCGTGGTTTCTTTGGAGCGGAGTGGGGTGCGAAAGCCAGGCCTTGGGCTACTTCTCCACTAGCACCCCCTCTGCAGCCTTCTTCATCTATGGCGGCTACATCTACTTTGACAAGATGGGAAGGGTTGCTGCAGTGTTGCTCAGCTGCGGACGTATCATAGAGCTCGATGGGCTTGGTTCACACTTCTACCAACAAGGTGTTGATTTCTACCAACAACTACTTTGGTGCCAAATCATAGCTGATTGATATGATGAGATAAGATGCTATAAGATGTTGTAAGCTGATCTAATGAGCGGATTTGATAGGCACTTGTCGCGCCTGGCCGATGGCAACACTCAGACCGAGCTTCGGGAAAGCTCAAAAAGGAACTTTCTGAGTGATCAAAAGACGCTTGAGGCATCTTGAGGTCCTGATGACAGTGCTTACTGGGTATTTTCCTGCACTTTCCTGGGGTGTGCTAGCAGGGGAGGCCACAGTTTCGAAGTGGCGTTGAATTGGACATTGTTCTTGCATCCCGACTCTATTCCATTGACCTACATGTTGGTTGCTTTTTGATCCATCAGTACATGAGCAACAACCTAAAGGGTCTGTGCACAAATCTTTATGTGAGAGGAATTATTTCATTGAAATCATCCAAAAACCTGTAAACCGATACCCCCCAAAAGCGATACCTTCACAATGTACACTTCAATCATTTTCAATAATTGAATCATTTTCTTCAATCATTTGATGTGTTTTCGCTTTCCATGAAGCGATACCAAAGCGATACCCCTGGATGATCAACATGTGGTCTAGATGAGCGGATCCCCTTTCATATCATTTTCGTATCATTTTCACAGTGCCTGTGGAGTCTGAGACAGATGAAGAGCTCTAGAACAAGAACCGCAATGAAGGGGGAAGGAAGTGCTGTTGTGTCAATATCTATCTATCTACCTATCTACCTACCTATCTACCTACCTACCTACCTATCTATCTATCTATCTATCTAATTATCTAATTATCTATCTATCTATTTATATATCTGTCTGTCTGTCTGTCTGTCTGTCTATCTATCTTTCCTTCCTTCCTTCCTGGCTGGCTGGCTGGCTGTCTGTCTGTCTGTCTGTCTTTCTTTATTTATTTCGTTATTTACTTTGTTATTTATTTCATTATTTGTGTTTTTTCTTTCCTTCTTTTGCTCTCTTTCTTTCTTTCTTTCTTTTTGTGCACTTTACTTTGGCTATGTTTTGAAGAGAAATCCTCAAGAAATATGACAAAGGCATCCGACACTGTAAAGCGATATAGTGAACTGAACCCCCCTAAAGTGATGCCAACATATAGAGTTTACCAAAATATAATACGATGGGTTTTGGCGATCGCTCACATCAATGTAAAAGGCATGTGCGGGTATGCGGGTGTTCGTTTTCATGGCAATTTCTATCGCTCTCATATCCTTTAGCTGGTCAATGTTGGTCAGTCGGGACCACTTTCTGATACTCCGGAACGAGCGCATCGCCAGTTCCTGCCATTGAGTTTGCACGGACAACGAAGTCATTCCCAGCGCTCGAGCGATCTTGTTGCAACTGCTTCCGTTCTGAGTGCGCTCCCTGTTGCTACAGGAACCATCCAAACTGTGCGCCGTTGCTTTGGACCGTATATTATAACTATAACAATATATACTGTAACTAAAATGCAATATACGCAATACAGTTTTTTTTGCTTTGCACTATATACATATGTTGGAACAAAGCTGCTGAGCGAAAATAGGTCGACGGTATCATCTCATCTATTCCAATGCAAAACCAGTTGCAGAGCTTGAACAAAGCTTGAACACACTGGTTCTATTGGGACACCCATCCAGTCCATCCAGCTCTTCGAGTCGAGTTCACTCCATTAGGGACCCAGAGCTCGTTCACCGATTGTGCTCTCCACCTAGAGCTTCTTGTTACTAGTAGCGATGGCCTCCAAAGAAGCTGGAATTCGCTCTCCACCAGGTGCGCGATTTCTTTGGGCAATGGCCTGGAGTTCGAACCTGCAGAAGCCTGGGACAATCGCTACAGCGGAGCCTTGGAGAAGCGCTGGGTGCCTGTGACCGTGCCCTACATCCTGGAGCGAGGCAAGTCGCTTGGGTTCGGGTGTGTTCGGGTCACTGGATCCAGGGATGTGACTATTGAAGGTTGCTTTTGGGGAAGAGGAAAAACCCCTTTGGTTGGAATATAATGGACTATATGTGTATAATTGTGTATATATACACAGTCTTTGCCAGTCGAGTCGCTTGTTGGGAGCGGGAGCCTCCCCAGTTTTGAGACAGCCATATGTGGGAAGGGAGCTCAATAATGTTGATCTTCTTTGGAACGGAAGATGGTCAAACCCATCTCGTCGATTCAGGAGCCCGCCATTTTGCCTGGATTAATGGTGGCGAGCTCCTGCAACCATCGGCCAAGGCCCGTTCTTAACGCGGGTTCTGCCTTTGAGCTGGTGTTTTTCTTTGGACCATATTTGGACATCCACCCCATTTAGCTCCACGATCTGCATTGTCGATGAGTCAATGAGATTCAATGAGTCAGGTGCTTCTAAGATTATGGCTTAGTGAAACAAATGAATGTCCCTGGATCCCCTGATTTTTGAAGAAACTATATAGCTTGATTTCTCGATCCAATCCCTGCTCAGGATGTACTCGGCGGCCAGGATTGGCGCGTCCAATCCTTATGATGTGGCAGGATGAATCATATATAGTATATATATATATATGAATATTACAAACACATGCATACACATTTGTACTTTTTTGTTTGGAAAGAATTGACATCAGCCAGCAGACTTGCCACCGACTTGGCTCTGGCAAGTGAGAAGCCTTCTTCGAAGGTCACACATGCCAAATTGGGAAACTACCAGACCAAACCTTGTTTATTCAAGGATTCCACCGCCCCCCAAAAATCACTACAAACATCGTTTCAGTTTCTCCTTACATGGATTCCGCTTATGAAACATCCACGGCCTGAGGCTCCAGCTAACGGTTGCTTTGTGTACAAATTCCACGAGTCTCCTTTGCTGGCGGTGGGGGCCTCAAAGTGGACAGGTGGAGGCACGTGTGCACATGCAACGAGCGCTTCTGTAAGCTTGTTTGCTATAGAGCGCCCAGTCATTGATGTGCCCAAAACCGAAGCAACCAAACATACTCCAGACGCTGGACCCGTCAAATCGACTGCATGAAGACATTGGGTCTGGAACTCCTCCTTCCTGAGTACATACATACGTTTGCAAAGGTAGTCAGGTCCAAAGCAAACTGATGCCAATCCCTCATGGTAGCTTGAGAGACCATCTTGAGCGCTTTGTCTCTCGTGACCAAGGATGACCGGGACGTCTTCTTCGCGGTGAGGGGCTCGCTCGTACACCAGAAAGCCTTTGGAAAACTGGGCGCCCTTGAAGAGCAGGCGGGGTGAAGCAAGCCTGAAACTGGTGAAAGTCTAAGAAGGGAAGCCTGACAAAGGCTGGTGAAGCCACGTCAAAACCGACATGATACCTTAGAAATATCACCTAGCATCACCTAGCAAAGAATAGTTTTGAGTAAAGGTAGTGAAGGTAGTGAAGTGAGGATGTGCCCGGGGCAGGTTTTTCTTGCTCTGCAAGTGTGAGCTTTTAATCTCTTGAGAATGCGTCAACGCAGGCAATGCGTCAGCTTCGGAATCAGATGGGTGGAGACGCTGAAGGCTGCAGAAAGAGGCCCTTTTTTGTGCCTGCCTCGCATGACACCTATTACCTATTCAAAAGCTTATGACAACAATTTCCAACAGATGCATAGATAGATCAGAGACATATATAGTTGATTCACAGCACTTGTGAATGTAGACCCTTTGGAAATAGAAGAACCTCAACTAATTACACACAATTACTTCTTTGTCGATGATATGGTTGAAGCAAGTTGACAAGCTTTTATTGTCACAACTTATGGCGAAATGGATCTCAGGAATCCTTGAAGGACGCCAGCATCGCCAAGGTTCAACAAGCATTGGAAGAGTGGGAACTCTGGCAGAGATGGGACAGTGATAGTGGCAGGCAGTGAGGGGAGGCCTTCGTTTGGTGCTCTTCTCAACATATTTATTAGAAGTCGAGCAACTGATTCAGAAGACACCTACACAATCCCTCATGTTCGTCTACGCCTTCTCGTAATCTTGAGCAATAATATGAGTCCTACAGCACTCGCGGGTGGCGGATCGCTTGCCATTCGCTTGACCCGCTGTGTTCTTCCCTGAGGATGCAAACCTGGATGGGAGGATCAGCGAAGATGAGATGGCAACAGCCTTGAAGATCTTGTGTCCCAGGATGACACAGGAAGTCATCAAGAACCTCTTCTCCCAAGCCGATCTCAACAAGGTGAACGGTGAACGAAACATCGCACAATGAGAAGTTTGAGCAAAGCATGTAGATGCGCAGGTGAGGGTACATAATGCGCAGATACCCGTGTTCCGACAAACATTTCGTTGTTTGTGTGCTTTGCCACAGGATGGCTTTGTCGATGTGAATGAGTTTGTGCAATGGCTGTGGCCAACAGCAAAGTCTCCGCCATAGGCGATGCTAGGTTTTGAAGCCACGCCCACAATGCACACGTACAAATCACACATATCACCAATTGTCTCCTCCAAGAGGATCAAGCTGTGAGGTATGTCTGTGCGAAAGAGCCGTGTGCCATGTGAATTGCTCCGCCATGCTTGTCTTCAGATTGTAGCCAAGTTCAACTCTTCTTTGCTTTCTCACTGGTAATGGAAGAGACTTGGCTGGTCTATGCTGGTTTGCTTGGCTCAAATGCACATCGAAGCAGTTGCCTAAGCAGCTACACCTAGCAGCCAGATGCAGGAATGACCAACAGAGTTCTTGAGCTAACACCAGAAACCCACCACGTGTTTTCATTGGTTTGGTGGAAAACAAAGCAGAACCAGAAGACCTAGTGCCAGGATTCATTTGTATACAAAGCACATAGTGTGCCCGACGACAAAGACAACGACACCAAACACTGCAGAGATGCCCTTTTGGATCTTTTGGTAGCACTGGTCACTGGTCAACATCGCAGCAATTCGGTGGCAACAGTTGGTCGACGTTCCACTTGCAGCCTTCCTTCGGAAGTGCAACTGGTTCCCACTCTTGGCTTGAACTATGCTTGTGAAAACAGCTGAATCAGAGGAGGCTTACGGTCCAAACAGTCCAACTCCAAGTCCAAACAGTCCAACTCCTCTTGTTGGCTTTGTTTCCGCTTGGCGCACTGGGCGCGCCCAAGCGGCCTTCGCATGTGGGACATGCATGACTGGCCGGGATGCTGCGGTCATCAGCGACTGATCCTGCAAGAAGAGGTGGTAATGGGGAGAGAGGGAAGTTTCCCAATTCGTCAACACTTTCTGTGTGTTCATTGAAGTAAGGGTTGTGTAGATAATATTATGCCAGTGACGTTCATACACTGAGACACTGATCTTGGGCCACTTTGAAAGAACGTTTAAACTGTTAAATAGTCTCCAATTGAACCAAAGCTCAAGACTGAAAGGGACCTACCTTCAGGATCTGACACAGTGAGACCAACTATGGACACATATTCATCGACTGGTGGATCAGAGAGATCTGCCCGACCAATGGGTTTTACTCTGGTTTTCCTTTTACCTGGGAGTCTTTGCGAAACACACGCAATGCAGTTCAATCAAATGAAGATCTTCGGTTTGGATGCATCCGAGTGCCCCATCCGAGGTTGGGCTTTGCTAGATCTGGCCTCAGCAAGCTTTTCCAGTGCGGCACAGATCCCCACCTGCGTCTCTGAGGTGACTGCAGGACTGTGCAGTCCCTGCTCTCAGCGTGTTTTTCGGTCACGTCACCCGACTGGTGCGACTGGTCCGTGAGGAATGATGGTGGCTGGATCCTAAAGTATATCATTAGTGCGTGTTCATTCCATTTTGTTCCTTAATCGCTGAAGCACCAGTCAGATAAAACCGGCTGCAATGATCTTCTGACTCTGCCACACTTGCTTCTTTGGCTAACGCAATCTCACTGGTGTGCAGTTTTGGTACAAAGAAGCTGGGATCAGTTTCTTATCAGTTGCTTCGTTGCTTTTAGCAGTTTGCAAGTTTCATGATCTCCAATCAGTTTCGCCCACACCAAGACAGCATGTGCTATGCTTTAGCTGTGCCTGCAGACGAGGGCGCAGAAAGCCCGCAGGGATTCCCAGGAATCTGCTGAGAAAGTCATGTCATGATCAAAGTGGGGGGAAGGTCTTTGCACTTACCACTCACTAAGTGTTTAGGCCACACACGCATGTTTGATGGTCCATCTCCAACCTATTAGGTCCAACTTGAGATTTCTCTTGTTAAATCATTTGAATCTAGGGGATGTATGACTTTACTTTCGGGTTATATCTTGGAACTGTCTCTCAATGTTTCTATTCCGCCGTTGGTACGAGGTATCGAGAAAGTATCGCAGCATTGGGCGACGAAGGACAATGGCAGGACCGCAAGCTTTTTTCAACCAAGCTGGGCCTTGATGCGTAAATCTGTTGCTCAGAATCTTGATGCATTCACCAGGATGCACTGCAGCTGTTCTCGGACATGTGCCAATTAGATCCCGGCGGAGTGCCTTGGAGGAGAAATGACATATGCGCTGAATGCATCTTCCACGGGGAAGGAAGCCTCGAACAACGGCCTAAACCTGTACTAGTGACACTAGTAGCGATGCCCTTTTTTACTAGCTTCTTGCTACTAGTACTAATGGCCTCCAACCTAGTAGCTTCTAGCTACTAGTGTAACTCTAGTAGTTGCGTCTAAAGCTGGGACTTCCCTGCGCTGCGCTGGGCGGAATCTTCGTTTCACTCAGGCTCTGACGGCCCCGACCTTCGCAGCTGTCACCATGGCCTGCAGCCGGATGACTCAGTGGTATCAGGCAGGGCGACCGTGTGGGTGTCAACAGTCGGTGTTTGTTTTTTCTTGTTACTAATAGCTATTTGCTCCTAGTAGTACGGCCAGGAGCCCCTAGTGGCGTCCTTGCTCCTAGTAGAGATGCCAGGAGCCCCTAGTAGCTTCTTGCTCCTAGTAGCGGTGTGTCTAAGAGTCTCAACGCAGATTGATTTTGCTTGACACGGTCAGCTGAGGCGCTATCCGTCTTTTTTTGGGGTGTGACAGTCCCACTAGTTATTGGTCAGAGCCAGTTACTGTTGTCGCTTGGTGTTTGCAAACCGGATGTTTGTCCTCCGAACATGTTGTTCCCCCCGAACAGTTTGGCACGGTCCATGGCCTTTCACAAGAATGGCGACCGGTCCTAACAACTGTTTGCTTGTGGAAGTCCCCTCCACGCCCAGCTTGGAAGTGTTTGCTTATCAATCAACACCATTTGAGTCTTTAGTCAGCTGAATTTGAACACCCTGTGAGACTCCTGGAGATGTAAATCGATCAGATCTCTGCGCCCAGAGACCCAACCTCTTCCACGATGAACGCCTCATTTGATGAACACCGACGTCAGGTACAGCAGCTCTTGCAAAAGGCCATGTCCAACGACGTGAGGCGAGACACACGGCGAGACAGAGGCGATAGCAATCAGCTGTAAAAGGAGCCGATGGCCTCCAACAGCGATGCCAGCAGCCCCTAGTAGCGTCCTTGCTCCTAGGATAAATGATTGTGTCCAGCGAGTGTTTCAATGGCATTGTTGGATGTTGATCCAAGACAGCTCCCCAAACAACGAATCGCATAATCTTTTATATGGTGCTTCTGGATGGATTCCACGAAAGATTCGGACGTTTTGGTTGCACTGGCAATGGTGTTTTGGGCGGATTAAGTAGCTTTACCTCTGGCATTAGTTTGGGTATCGGATCATTTTTGAACAGTGCGGAGCTCATTCAGGCGTTGCTGGAATTTCGTGTATTAGAGTGTATCATATTCACAACATAGAAGAATTGTTTTTGTGTTTGCGCTGCGACTTGCAAGTTTAACTAGGCTTGCACAACCTGCCTGTGAACACAACACATGGAGACCCGTTTGCAAATTCATGACCTGTTTGCTTTCAGGCCAGAAGATGTCCGGCACTTGGAGAGAAAGGTTGACAAGAGCGTGACTGTGTTGAAGTTACCTGTATTGGCACCGAGAAGCGTAGGAGTTTGAAGAAGTGATTGATGGATCTAGAAGTTGTCTCCAACATGGATTCTGAAGTTTCGATTTGCCAAGGTGCTTGTGTGGTATCATGTTGGGGTCAGCCAGTCCCCGCCGCAAAAAACCCAGGTCCTTTTGCATGTGGAGGCGCCTGAGGTGCAGCATTCCCTTCATTAATGCCCAACCAACAGAGACGTCCTAGTTGGACAACTAAGCCTGAGGGAACATAGATGACAATCTGGTTAAGGCGAGTGAGACAGACCCAGATTATTGCCACAAGTCTTGAGGAGTAACAAGTGCATCGCTACTAGTAACAAGTGCATTGCTACTAATAGTAACGCCCTTGTTACTAGTAGCGATGTAGGTGAACAACGTTTTGCCAGCAGCGGTGCGACACCTAGATCTACATCTGGGAGGGTGCCAAGAAATTCTCTTACAGTGCAGCTACACCTGCGTACTTCCGCACTTTCTGCACAACAGCACCGTGTTTGCCAGCATTCTTTGGTCTCAAAAGGACGCTGTAGGCCAAACACCTTTGTACACGGCTTGCCACATAATTATGTTAGACCTTCAAGATGTATGTTGGTGAAGAATTGGCCATCATGTTCATATCTTGGGCTCAACGCAAGATTGCCATAGATTCTCAGCCATGTTCTTCAGCACATCTTCACATCTTCAACTAGGATCTCCAACTTGTTGCGCTCATGGCGGTCCGAATTGCCCGGCACGCTTGGCGTTTGGGCGGAGTTCCTCGGCTGATTCCCGTCAGCGCCAAGGTGACCTTGATTCCCGGCCTCCGATGGAAGACAGATAAATCAGATAAGGAAGACTGGAGCTGGAATACAGAGGAAGCAAGTGGTGGAAGTGGAGGAAGTGAAAAGGAGGATGGCAAGGGCAAGGCAGTTGTGCTGACCCATCGTTTGCCAGATGATTACCTCGAAAACACGCTTTTGCCGCACCTGGAAAGCCAGCTCTTATACAATATCCACATCTACACACCGGCTGAACTCACTCAAATCGCAAAGGCATATGCCAAGATGGAGGTGAGACAACTGGCGCTCTGTCGGAAGTTAGCTGGACACATGAAGGAACGGATGAAAGGTTTTGAGGCCATTGATGTGATCGACGCCTTGGGTGCCATGTGGATCATGGTCCCCGATGATGAGGAGCTCTTTGAGGCACTGGAGCAGAAGATCTATGAGAAAATGGAGGACTTCACTGCACCAAACTTCATGGGCATCATCCGCGTTTATAACAAGATGGCTTCCAAGCACCACACTCTCCTCTCCAAGGTGTGTTGTTGGCGGTTTTGGGAAGATGGTTTTTGTCTTGAAAACAAGTAAGAGACAGTCAAGGGTTCAATGAGCACGTTCATGAGCCCACTGTTCTTTGCAACATCCCCAAACGTCCTCTCTTGGTGGTTTTCTTTGGATTCTCGTGTGAGCTAGTGGCTGGTGTTCGCCTTCTTTCCGGTGTCTTCGCTGAGGTGATTCCCCGATTAAGGGAGTTGCTGGCCAACTACGAGGGAGTGGAGCTCTCAGAGATGTTGGTCTCCATGGCTCAGTCTGTGGATTCGGACATGGACATTTTGATGACCTTGGTGCCAGAAGTGGAGAAGCGTTACAATGAGGTGTGGTGTGACAAAATCAACCTATGGCAACCTATGGGTCCCTAATTGTCCCTACATGTTGGAGTCCACCAAGAAAATTCATGTCAATGTCTTGCTGAAGGCTTGGGAGGTGTACACTCTTGTTTTGACCCATAGGGCCATAGCCAGGTCTCTTTGCTTCACTCCGTGAACAACGTTTGGGCACTTTGCCAGATGAAGATTGTTCATGAAGGACTCCTGAAGCGAGTGGCCGAGGATCTTTGCAACCCCACCAAGTCCAAGGATGCTTGGGCGGAAAGACTCCTTTGTTGTTTCTCGTTGTATCGTTGTATGCATCCTTTTGGTTCTGTTTGGTACTTTTGTCGGGTGACCTTGATCCAATTCTCTGACCAGCACCAGGTCTACTCAGTGTGAAGAACCTGTTTCTTTTCTCTTCTCTCCCCACCCCCCCAGTCCGAGGATCTCCCCGCGGGATACATGGCTCGTGTCGCTTGGATCTACCGGCGTTGCAACCGCTGGGACTTGATCTCCGAAGCGTTGCTCCCGATGATCCGCTCCTCAGCCGCCGAGTTCAGCCCGGGCGACTTCGCACGCCTGGCCCAAGCCCTGCCGGAAGAAGGCGCCGGTTTTTGGCAGGTTTGGGGGGATCCCCCCAAACAACATCAAACAACTGCACTAACTAGTGGTCGCACCCATGAAAGAGAGTGAATGGTATAGACCTGCGATGTACGCTTCTCTTTTTGGCGATTGTGATCGCGAAACCACAACAATTGTCCTTGTTTTTGGCGTCTTCCATTTTGTTCCTCTGTATTGACGTGGGGTGGGTGAGGTTCACCTTCATGTCGGGTGTTTTCAAGCGCAGGACAGCTCCTGCGGAGGATTGCCCAGAACTTGGTCGGGGGCTTCACGGACATGGGGCGAAAAGACTTCCTCCTGTACTTGGTTGGCTGTGTGCATGGCGAGGTCTTGGAGGAACGTCCAGAGGCCAATCAGCCCTATGGAGAGCTCACTCAGGCGTGTCTAAACTACATCAAAGAAGATCAGGATAACTTTGCCAGAGACGAAGTGCAGAAGATGGTGTACCTTCTGCACCACTCGAAGTACCACTACCTGGAAGAGGAATTGCCTCCTTCTTTGAATGCAATCAAGCAGGAGACTATTGATTTCATCCGTGCCAAGGGCGCTAGTCGCTGACGGAGCGTTCAGTTCCAAAAACATGCCATGGCAGCTTTTTGTGTCGAAGAGTGGCAGAGTAGACTGTTTCGTTTGAGGCCAGTAGATTGCATTTGTTCTTTGAAAGATGTGCGGGGGGGGCCAAACGAGAATCCACCGGTCGTTGCCCCATACATGGTGACCCCTTATCATGCCCCGCAAAGCACAAACGAGAAGAACATTGAGCAAGCTCTGTTTGACAAGCTCTCATCAAGCAGTTGAGTGCGCTCAGCCGTGGTGGCTCAATCATGTTGCCTCCGCTCCCCTCTACATCAGGCAATTTGTGTCACACTCGAGACACTCGGGAATTCACCTTTTTCGCAAAAAGCCAGCTTCCATTGGTCCATGACGTCCATGACTGAGTCTATGCCGATCTGCCAGGTCTATGCCGAAGGGCTACAATTCATTCGATGATACCGATGGATCGGTGACAGTGCGTGAAGTACTGGATGACATGCCCTTTGGTCAGTTTCATGTGGTTCATCTCACCTGGGCGATCGTGGCCATTGCCATCCTGGCGATCCAATATGAGATGACGCCCTACATGTTTTTGGGGCTTCAACTGCATTTCGGTCTCTCGGCCTTCAAGACGGCCCAGACAATTGAACCCGTCGATCGCATGGTGCAGAAAACGACACGCATGGACTGATAAGACCCATCGATCGACTGGTTTGGGTTTATTCTTTGTGATAAAAGGGTTGGCTTCATTAACATTCATCGGATGAGTCTCGTTATCCACACAAGATTGGCCCCACTGGTTTATTGACCGATAGCTAGATGATGCTTTGTCGAATTGGTCAACAAGAATGCCAGTGGATTTTTTCTTCAAAAAGGGACCCATGAAAGTCCATCCTCAATGGGCTTTAGGATGGCTTGTTGATGTTCACTTCTCCTTCTACTATCTTCTACCAACTAGTTCTACCCTCGTTGACCTCCCCCAGGTCAGCCACCGGTCCACGTTCCGGTCAGGTGCCGGTCGCGAAGAGCTGAGCACCTTCGCCGCGGCCTTCCAGGCAGGCTGTGCCTTCGGCACCATGGTGGCGCCCTTCTTGGCCGATCGCCTGGGCCCTTCGGACGAAGCGAGGATGACTCGGGATGGGCAACTGGTTCGATGGGGAATGCGGAGTGGCCATCATTCCTACAATGAGAAATAAGAATAAAAGAAACAACTAGCGCATGTAACTAAAAGACATTAAAAGACCAATGTTTGGAGAGATGCTTGTCTGTGGAAACTGGAGGACGTTCTGAAGGGCTAGAAGAGGGTCTGACTGAGTTTCACATGGTAAAGATTGATCTACGTGCCGCAGCTGCAGGCAATGCTGCAGCGATTAGCATGCAGGAATATCACAAATACTGTAACTGGTGCGTTGTCTAGGCGGCAGAGCATATTTGTTCACTGGACTCTAGCCTCCTTTGTGCGTTCTTGCTAGACCAGCTTGGATCGATATCTTGACGTTCCACGTTGTCCGTTTTCCCGTGTTATTTCCATTTTAGAGGGTTCAATGGATCTAGGGGCAGTGTGGATCTAGTGCCCTTCCACCGGACCTAGGTCGAAAGCCCACGCTGACATTCTCCATCACCGTGGCTGCCATTTTTTCGTTCGCTTCTGCGACAGCCAGATCATTGCATATGTGCCTAGGCTCAGACTTTGGCGCAGAAAGCGACGTGTTTCTCAATGTTTCTCATTGCAGTCGGGGTGTTTCCACCCCACCTCACCTTGGAGGACCTGAAACCCGTTTAAGGACCACGAACCTTCAAGGACCTGAAAAGGGCATTCCACAGGTCCTTGATGTCTTTCCACTTCACTCTCCTGAGATGATCAACAGTCAGGCAGCCATCTTCACACAGCCGTCTTCACACAGCCTCTGTCCTTTCCAAGGCTCTTGGTTCTCAGGACGGTGAGTTCGGCCAGTTGGGCAATCGCTTGGAACACCTTGGGTCCGTGGTATATTGAGTTCCTGGTCCGAAATTCCGGCTGCTTAACAGCTTTCTTTTTTCCTTGAAAGAACATGACAGATCAGTGTCCAAGGCATTCTGAGGTTTATGGGCGTGTGATGGCGTGTGGCCTGAGTTTCAGAATAAGTTTGTTGGCAGGATTTTTTGTTCCGCAAAATTGGTTGGCGTGATAGTGATGTGATGGTTTCACAAATTCGGACATCATTGAGTTGCAACGTGATTGAAGCAACAAGGCAAGAACATATTTTGGCAAGGCCCTCAAGCAATTGCTGAATTGCAAAGTTAACGACAACAACACCACCAGCAGCAGCGGCGGCACCACCACCAGCAACCGCAGCAACAGCAGCAACAGCAGCAGCAGCGGCAGCGGCGGCGGCGGCAGCGGCAGCGGCAGCGGCAGCGGCAACAGCAGCACCAGCAGCAGCACCAGCGGCGGTGGCGGCGGCAGCGGCAGCACCGGCAGCACCCGCACTGGCAGGCGGCGGCAGCAGCCGCAGCGGCAGCGGCAGCGACAGCGCAGCAGCAACAGCGCAGCAGCAACAGCAAATTTGACTTGTGTGTCAATCCTCTACCCTACCCCCAAGAAAACGTGGTGAGTCAGAGAAAAGTCGGTAAGCTCAAAGGAACAGCATACAATACCAAGAAGTGTGAGCAGGAAGGCATTGAAGGGATCAGATGAAAAATCATTGACTGACCATTTTTTGGAGCAGGAGTTTGCTGAGGTCTCTCGCGTTCGCATGTCGCCTACTTCCCCCATCTCCTTGGCTTAGGTTCCTTCCAACTCGCACGCGCGGTGCTATGTTGACCAGCGTTGGTCTGGGTTGGCCAGTAGGACCGTGACAGCTGTGTGCTCAACGGAGAATCCATCATCAATCAATCCCAAGGGGTGTTCATATTTCAGGTGTCATTTTGTCCACATGTCTATCCTTGATAATTATATACTCCTTTGTTTCCTCTCAACAAATCCATTCGACTGTCATGGCTTTGTGACCTGAAGTCTGCTCTTTTTTATTCCAGGACGAGGGATTGCCATTGCTTGCTCCCAGTACTTGGTCTCCGACTGGCAGAAGCTGCAGAAGCTTCAAGCGATCACCATGCTGACGCTCATGGCCGCCACGCGCCTCATCAACGAGTCGCCGCGATTTCTGGCCTCGAGGGGTCGGAAGGAAGAGGCTGGACATGTCTCGATTGGAAGTGAAGGAGATCCTGTGCATCGCTACAAGTAGCAAGAAGCTACTAGTAGCTTATTGCTACTAGTAGGAATGCCCTTGTTACATCTTGTTACTAGTAGCGGTGCACTTGTTACTAGCGATGTTCTGTATGAAAACTTTTATATAATTGATTGACCTATGAGTCTTTCGGAACGGCGTTTTCGACATGCTCCACTTGGGCATGCAACATCATGCAACATGAACTGTGGGTTTTCCTGTAGAATTATATACTTCATGACAGGTGCGATGCAAGGAGTGAAGAAGCCAAGGAGTGCAAACTGTTCCCACAAAAAGAGCTCTGAGATATTTTGAGATCAACCCAAGTTGTATTCAAGCAAGAAGCTATTAGTGGCTCCTGGCCTTACTACTAGGAGCAAGGACGCTACTAGGGGCTCCTGGCATCGCTTCTAGCAAGAAGCTATTAGGTAGCTGAGATCACTGTCCTTTCGTTTCGAACTCAACGAGCCTTGCCGAGCAGGCTCGGCAAGTTCTAGATGCTGTGCATCGGACCAATGGGAGCACATGGAACTCCAGTCGTCAGCTTTGCCTCGATGATACGGTGCAGACGCTGGATGACAGGAGTGAAGTCGTGCGAAACCACGCACCAGGTGCCAAATCTTGACCCGTTGCCCAACAGTTTTCGTGATTTTTTGGTGTTTGGCACTGAAGTCCGAGCCAAATCTCCAGGACATGGCAGGAACTGTTCTCAAACGCTTATTTGGGAAGAATCACTTTTTGCTGGTTCTTCGGATGCACTTGAGCCATAGTGCTGACCCTACAGTGTGGTCAGTATGCCTGATGACAGTTTGCCAATGTTCTTCCAGCATGACTAGACTTTGTCATCACTGTCCATTTCGCTGCCGCTGTCGAAACGAAGTAGCTTGTCGCCAGGCCAGACGCGAAGCGCGAAGCGGATTTCCCCCGCTGAGGACTCTGTTTTGCCTACTCGCTTGCACGACGATCCTATTGGATACCTGGGGCCCGCTCATGTATCAGCATTTGCTGTTCCCACATCGAA